GCCTTAACCTCCCCTCCTGCCTTAACCTCCCAAGTAGCTGGGACTACAGGTAGGGCCACCGTGCCTTGCTAATTTTTTTTTTTTTTTGTAGAGATGGGCTGTCATTATATTGCTCAGGCTGATCTCAAACTCCTGGGCTCAAGCAATCCTCCCACCTCAGCCTCCTAGAGTGCTAGGATTACATGTGTGATTCACCACACCCGGCCCTGGTAAATTATAATTTTATAAGCAGAATTCATATATTTACTTGATTGCTCTAGAATTTAAAAAGCTACTTTTTAAATTCTTATTTTTATGGTAAACAGTTGTTTGCATAAGTTCAATAAGAATCTGCTCTCTTTAAGATAGGATTCAATTGGAACCATTGGTTATATTACCAAGGTTTTGACTGGGATGTCATATTTAAATTGTTTATAGGTACTGCAGATGAGGTGTGAAGTCTACCTTCGTTTAGCTTCCTAGCCTGGAGAGGTTTTCAAACCCGAGATTCCTATGTGGTCAATTGCTATTCTTGCTGTATTTATGTAAATAATCAGGCCAAATTCGATAAGGCTAAACTTGTACAAATAAATCAGTCTTATTTTGATTATTTTTGATAAAAATGAGAGTAACTCTACAGAAAAATTGTGGCCAGGCGCAGTGGCTCACACCTGTAATCCTAGAGCATTGGGAGGCTGAGGCAGGAGGGTTTCTTGAGGTCAGGAGTTTGAGACCAGACTGGGCAACATAGCGAGACTCTACAAAAAAAATTTAAAAATTAGCCAGGCGTGGTGGTATGCACCTGTAGTCCCAGCTACTTAGGAGGCTGAGGTGGAAGGATCACTTGAGCCCAGGATTTTGAGGTTGCTGTGAGCTGTGATGATACCACTGTACTCCATCCTGGGTGACAGAGTAAGACCCTGTATCTTAAAAAAGGAAAAAAAAAAACGTTGTTTCAGAAGAAAAACTACAGTATACCTGTTATTAGACGGTAGCCCTGTTCATTGTTCTTGAGTTTTTATTATTTACCTACAATCTGGACTAAATCCTGAACTCTTCTAGCTTCCTCCAATACCTGATTACAACAGGTATCACCCAGTTCCCTTGTGGTCTTTATTTTATTTATTTATTTTTGA